CTTGGCTTTAGGCACAAACAATATGTTTTCCCAGAGCTGTAAACAGGAGCTCAGAGCCAGGCTGAGGAGTAAAGTGCTGCATCAACAGGGAGAGCAGCCAGCCAGGCTGATGCCCTTCTCCACACATTAAGGTTAAGAAAAACCAACACAAGCATGTCAGGCTGGAGAACTCATGAGGCAAATCCTCTGTGCAGATGTGAATGATTTGTGCAGAAATACTTGCAGAATGAATTTTGATTTCACTGTTGTCCACACCCTCCACCTCCCAGGGAAGCCAGGGCACTCTGAACACTGTGAGGCTGTTCTTCACCGTGCTCAGGCTCTGTGGCACAGCATCAGCTCACGCTCCTGCAGCACTTTGCTGCTATTTTCTATTGCTGTTCACACATATTAAAGACCTTTCCTCGCAGCATACACAGCCCATTAGAGCATTTTGTTTATAAACAGGACCAACCAGAGCCCATCTCTCCCAGCTTTACGTTACCCAGAATTAAATGCTCTCTGATTTAACTACACCACGCGAGTGACGCACGGTGCCACCTACGTGCCCTTGGACCGGAGCCAGATGGTTTCCCTCCCACGTCACACCACATCCCTGCTAGAAGTAAACATTCAAGGGTAAAACCAGGGGAAAATACTCGTATCTTTAATTCCCAGAAGGGAACCTGGGCCAGCAGCAATGAGGCATAGCATGAACACCACCGTCTAGCGCTGTCTGGATTAAAGGATTTTAGTTTCTTATCGGTCAGCCAGAAGTTCACCTATTTTGTTCCCTTTTACTGGTCAACTTTCCCTTGTATCCCAGCAAAACAGTGCAGCCCATGCAGACATACCTTACCATATTAGGCAATGTAAGTCCCGAAAGTGGAGGACTCGGAGCCTTCCCTGGCTTCCAAACACAGTCCGCAGGCACAGGGTCAGCCTGCACAACACTGGGAGAGGGGGCAATAACTCCTGGAGACTCCCAGTACAACCAGTCTGGCTACGACAGGCAAGTCACAAAACACTTAACAAAAGCTATTCCCGCTCTTCTAGTCATTCATCAAACCCATCTTTTACAAAAAGGCAAACAGCACGATGACAAAAGCTAAACTGAAGCCTCCGTGGAAGGATAAAATGGCACTGAAAGCAAAACTACAGGTGAGAAATAGGACACATCAAAATCAGGACTCCCAAATCATAGCTCTGAATCGGCAATAACATCAAGACATTTAGTTTGTATAAGGAATTTTCTAGTTCATTGGTCTTCCCTTAGAACTCATGGCATCAAGCTTAGAAATTCAGCCCTTCTTAAGACAGAGATTTAGTTTATATTGGTATCCAGTTGCATCTGGTGATTTCATGGTAACTGTACAATTAGGCAGAACATTTATTTACAAACCAGAGTGGGCCTGAGTGGTGCTTTGCAGAATGTAAAACACTCATTCCATAAATCAAAGCACAGAGAGACAGGAATGGAGCCTATTTAATCGACTTACTGCGATCGTAATCCATAATCAAGCGGTTCAGTGTTATTCTTGCATAAAAGTTAATTCCATTAACATGTCTGGGGTTTATACTGGGCTATACAGACTGTCTTGGAGGCAGTTCATGACCACAGACATTTTCTTTGACACTTTTACTGCCCATAAACTGTTATTTTACCAACACAACACTCGGTGTCTTCCCCTGAATTTGAAGCTTTCCTTTGACCAAGTCCCTCTGGATGAGGCATGTCTGTAATGCCCCTGCAGAGAACTGCAAGGAGATAAAATCCTTCAAATGATTACCAACATTTTCTATTTGTTCTGCATGGTCTGTCATCTAAAATATACTTTTCTTCCAAATTTGTTCCCAATTCTCCTGCTGTACAATAGCAATGGCAGAAGTTGCCCAGAGAAGCTGTGGCTGTCCCATCCCTGGAAGTGTTCCAGGCCAAGTTGGATGGGGCTTGGAGCAACCTGGGCTAGTGGAAGGTGTCCCTGCCCATGGCAGGCAGATGTAACAGGATAAGCTTTAAGGTCCCTTCCAACCCAAGCCAGTCTGTAATAGATTCCATCATTCTAAGTCAGGGTCAAGTCAAAGCCAGGAGAGCTGGGGATAAGGAAGCACCAGCTCTGAAATGGAACATTGGACCATTCTCTTTAGTCTTCATCGTCATTCTCCAACTGCTGCATCCTAAACTGGAGCCACTGATCCCTATTTGCACTGACTCTATTGTATTTGTCCTCACTGGTCTCACCAAGATGGAATTCCTGCAGTCACTAGCTTGAGGGATCAGGGAAGCTTTCCCAACACCAGTCTCTCCCCTGGCTCAGTCTGGGTCTAACAGGACCTCTCAGACTCTCCCAGTTTTTACTTTCTGAGAAACAGAGACAAGACTGTGGCCAAACTTTTCTTTGAGCTCAGGTCTCCCCAGACTGCACAAAAACTCTTTCCTTCACAGTGCCTTCCCAGTGGAACCATGAAAAAACCTCTCCTAAAGCTGCTTCCCCAGAGGCTTCTTCCAGCTGAAGCCCTTGTGCCCTTGAACATTTATTCCACAATAAAACTTTGTCTGCTCTTCCAACTTTCCACAGTGCATCCAGGCAGTCTGCATCCTGGGGAGAGAGGCGGGGTGGGAGCAGAACACACGGAGGATTCCGACACATCCCATTACAAGACAACTCAGTTGCCTAAAGCTCAGCCAGAGTGTCTGGGCTGGTTTCCCACGCTGGTGCTCACGAGCTCAGCCAAAATAATTCCTCCACTTCTGAGAAACAGTACAACATGTATTTGCTCCTTCTTTTTCCAAAACTGCCTTTACCTTTCCTTTGCTATTCTCCAGCACTGCAGAGCTTTCAGGAGGGATTTCAAGTAGGGCCTTTTTTTGGCTTCCATGAAAATACTCCCAATATCAGCCAAGACATAAACACTGGAGGAAAAATACAACTGCTCCCATAAAACCAGAGAGTTTTTGGGGATCTGCAACTAAAATGGGACGCTCCAGTGTGTTCAAGTTCACATCTTGGTGACATGGTGGCAACTCCCATTCTAGAATTATTACTATTGATTATTAATGATTATTAATTGTACTTTTTCCTTGGCACTAGAACTGAAAGAAAGGAGCTGCTCTGTGATTCCTGCCAAAGTGATGGTCAGTTAGGACAGAAACCTCTGATTTGGATCTAAAACAAGCCAGGGAAGACTGACCAAGTGACATGATGCTGGAGGCATGCAGCGAAGAAAATGAACTGGAAACTGGATAAAAACAAGATGACTGGGAAAATGGAAAAAACAGGTCTGGCACAGTGGGAGGAGAGTCTAACCCAGGTCTAATGTACGTGGGGTGTGTAAGAAAACAGGGTGCTGGTGCCCCAAAGCACCTGCACAAAGGGGCTGAGGGAACTGAAGAAAAGGTGCTCTGCTGTTAGATGGGAACCCACAAGAAAACCACAGGAAGTACAAGAAAAGGAATCCTTGCTGTCAATTTGGAGAAAACCAGCAGTAACTGTAAGAGACTGGGTGACCTTGAATTTTTGGGCAGGTGGGTTCTCCCGAAGTGCAGCTAATCCATTGACATGAGCAGTGAGGACTGTACTCAATTAAATCTTCAGCAATTTTAGGACTAGACTGCAGCAAGCCTTCAAACCTGCAGCCTCAGACACTCTTTTGTCTTAATTTAGCTAGTCTGGGACAACTTCCACGAAGAACAAGTCATTCCCAGCAAGTCCAAAACATTCCTGCGAGAAACAAGGTGTCCCTATTACAATTATTACTTTTTTACACATTACAAAACTCCCCTCCTCCAACCCTACCGTGAGACAGCAGAAATGTCAAACCAATTGTAACGATGACAAATGGCCAAATCTTTCCTGCAGGGCTCAGTGAGGATTTCATGAAGTTCTGCTCTGTGATGAGCAGAAACTCCCGTGGGAAGGGCTGGGCTCCTCAAAGCAGGTGATGCTTCTGGGAGCAGGAATATCCCACATTTCACACTGCAAAGTAAGCACTGGGGAAAGCAATGCCTGGCATGGAAAGATAAGCACATGCTAAAAGCCATCCCAGCACCACCTGAGTCTCTGGTCCCAGCAAGGCTCGCCGTGACTTTGCCGCATTCTGACCAACTATTGCAAGAAGAAAAACAAAAATAAGAGTCTGCAGAGTGTTACTGCCAATTTTCAGCAGTGAACCAGGTAATTCCAACTAAATGATGCTTCAATCACTCTACTGCATCACAAACCATAGGGAAAGGCTACCCCAAGTTCAATGTTTTCCAGCCAAAATGAAACATCCCACAAGCAGGCCGACCCCTACACAACCTTGCGTTTGCTGCTTCTCCCGAGTCTTGCACATTGTGTTTTAATAGTCTGGAAATGCATTTAGCTTTGACATTGTCACAGTCAGTCATGTTGTCAGGCTCAAATGTGTTTCAGACAGAGACAGACAAAACCAAAGGAAACCGAGGCAATTCAGAAAGACTCAGTAATTATTAAAAAAGGAAAGTAAGGGCCTCGAAGGATGAGACTATTGCAAGAACAGGGGAACATGGAACAACCTCTGACACGCTGCTTGTGAAGACAATTTCCCACAAGAAATCAAATCTGTGAGGAGACAGGAGAGCAGATTTCAGAAATACAAAACATACTGTCCAAAATAACAGTGTCAGGGTGATTCTGAGATCCAAGGTCACAGGTCTTGCCCAGGACACTTGATGGCCATGCTCTGCCAGCACCGTGGCCCAACAGCTTCGTGAGGCTCTTGCTCAGCCCTGCTCTGCTGCACTCCCTCCAGGCTCCAGAAATGCCCATGCAGCTCCCCAAGAGCCAACTCTGAACTTAGGCCAGTTCTGTAGATATTCTTTATCTTTCAGGAGAGAAATCAATAAAGAATTTGCTACTTGGAGGTGTCTCCCTGTTCATACTCAGCTACTGAGCAGAGCCTAAACCTCTCATATGGACAAGAATAAAGCCATAGAAGATTTCTCGCCACGAACACCCAGGAGTGAAACACCAATGATTTAGAGATATGGTCTCACTTACCCGAGTTTCCTTCACATCCTCGTTTCCATCAACTTCATCATCGTCCTAGGATGAAAAGCAAACAATATGATTAGGCAGCTTTGGAGACAACAAAACTTTATCACAGGGTGATAATTTTATTGTTTATAGAACCACAGAATTGTTAAGGTTGGAAAAGACCTCCAAGATCATCAAGTCCAACCTTTGACATCATGTCAATTAAACCATATCACAAATTGCCACGTCTACTTGTGTTTTGAACCCTTCCAGGAATGGTGACTCCACCACTGCTCTGGGCAGCCTGTGCCAGTGTCTGACCACCCTTCCAGTGAAGAAATGATCTGATGTTAAAGCTAAGGAGAAATGTCAAAACAAACGCCTGTCCAGATGTTTTTGGCTGATTATCAAATCAGTTTTGGTGACCTAATGACTATTTAGAAGATCTTTGTACTGAGAACAGAATGACTCTCTCTGATGGCTCCTGCCATTCGAATGCTCCTGAAGAGTCAGGAGGAACAACAACTCCTTAATACACTCAGGGAACAAACATGACACTTGGGAAGACTGCTCATCTGAAATACTGACATAATACTGACTTTCAAAGAACATCTCTGCTTCAATTAGACCCCAGGAGGAGAGACTCATCATCCCAGACATCCTGCACTTGTGCAGCCTCTCAATTAGCCACTGCCTCTTTGTAACAGCTTTGGGATTTCATGGAGCAATGGGAAACTACCCCAGCATCCCAGCTGACTCCAGACTAAACTCGTTAACCATGATTTCATAATTCTTACTCTCTCTTGAATTTTCCTACCTGAGGCTCTAACCAAAGTCTGGAGGGTTAGATTTCTTCCCTCAGACTGAAGAAATCCTCTGAAACCAGGACTAAAAGAAATGACCATGACACAGACAGCTCTCCTGCACTTATGCTGTGAGTGTTCCCTGCTGCTGGGAGGGGACCCAGACACTGGTTTTATTCCTCACTGTCTTCCTTTCATGGGGCCTAAAGAGCAGACAAATTTGAGCTCAGAGGAATTTGAAAATACTTCAAGTGGCTTGTGACCTTCTTCTTTCAAAGGAATTAAAGACTTCTAATTTCTCCTCTCCCATGTGGGCCCTTTCACAGTCCTGCAGGGTTTCCACTGATTCGTGGCTCAGGAACAGGCAAACAGGGATGCACCACTTTGGATGTGCCAGTCTGAAATAGAGCTGAAGAGGGAAGGACTAATGGAAAATCAACTAACTGGGAAAAAAATCTGAAGCTTGGAATCAGAAGAAAATTCATCCTGGATACTACAGAATGAGTTTCTCTTTCTAAGGAACTCAAACTTACATCTTTTGTTGAGAAAATGATGCCGGTGCCTCTCCGTCTCTCTTTCGGCCGCCGCCGCTCCCGGATCGACTGTTTGTTCAGGGATCTGTCATCTGAATCCTGATCTTCACACTCTGGCCAAGCAAAGAAAGACTGCTTTGGTTTCAGTGATTTACATCTGTGCTTTTTGCTAAGGTTCTGGGGTTCTTTTCAAGCTGATCAAGGTCACCTTGGCTTGTGTTATATTACAAAGGAGTTATTAAACCAAATGTGTCCTCCTACAGCTGGATACTCACACTCCTTCTCTCATCAGAGACAGAGGTTACCCCAGCTAGCAGCTCTCCCCAGGTCATCCTGACTTTTCTGAGGACAAGCTGTACTAGAGGAACCTCTTCCCTCAGCTCTAATATCTAAATGCTCCATGGATCACTGTTTCACTTATTTATCCAAAATGGAAAACATCCTTTTATCCCTCTGTTACAAGCAATAGGAATTTGTTTAACTCCATTTAAACAAATAACATTTGTTTTGTGATGTGGCATCTCCCCTCAGAGCAACAAGTAAATCTGTTCTCTCTGTTTGTACACACTGAAAGTTCTAAAGCACACAGAGCTTTGCCTGCTCCTCACTCTCCTGGTACGTACCATTTTTCTCCATCTCTGTGGCTGCCCCTCTGAAGTCTGCTGGGTTCACAGAGTCCAGACCTAGATATTTATTTGTTCGAGTCAGGTATGAACTTGTATAGAGCAGAGGTGCTGCCGTCGAAGGAGACACGGGTGTGGTGGGTTTGTCAGGCTGTGCTGGGCACCTCAATCGCCGATAGACTGACTATAAACACAGAGCCATGACAGAGAGTCAGTAGAATGAAGAGGAACCAGCAGATCTGGGATTTCAGGGAATGTAGCAACCTTTCAGAGTGCAATGTTTTCTTTCCTGCTGCTGGAAGTGATCACTTGCATCTGCCAGATCAAGTTTATTCCATCAGATAGGGATGAATGTTAAAATAAACCATTGTACAGCTACAGTGTGAGAGTACTGTCCATGGCTGGGAGATCTGGGATCAACCCCTTTGTCTCTACAGCCAATGGCAGGATAAACAAGTTATCTAATAGAAATAAAATGATTCAGAGTGAAAAACCAGAGGTGATGGCAGGGGAAGAGAGAACTGGTCTCTCCAGCTTTCCATTAAACACGGAATATCTGTTGAAAAATGTGAACACAAATCCTCAGCCCAGACTGCACAGCGAGGATGGATCCAGGCCACATTTCTATCATTAGCCTTCTCATTCCACTTTCTGGGATTTACAGAGTCTTACTTTTTGGCAAGAAACAGAAAGGTGAAATTCCCAGTGGAGAGCAAAGGCATAGCTCAGCTCCAGCACCTCCAGATCCACCTCCCTCGTGCAGGTGCTGCTCCTCAGCATTGCTTCTTTCCAGCAAGTCTGCCCCCCCTTAAAATGAAAAGACACCCCCGGGAGAATTCCTCCTGATCTCAGCTATCCTAAACAGTTTCATTAGCTCTGAAGCAATGAGCACTGAGGGCACAAGGATCACCTCCTCATCCGTGCTCCTGCTCCACCGGGCCCGGCTCTCCTGCCTCTCGCTGCTCTCCTCGGGCTCGGTGCTCTCGGCTTTCTCGCTCTGCTGCTCCTGGGCCTGGCGCTCGGCCCGCGACCGGCTGAAGGTCCGCTCAGCCTCCTGAAGGTCTGTCAGGGTCACACCCTGCACAGAAAGGAAAGGAGAATTCTTAAATTTATGCATCGAATCCCAGACTGGTTTGGGTTGGATCTTAAAGCCCATCTCATTCCACCCCCCTTCTACGGGCAGGGACACCTTCCACTAGCCCAGGTTGTTCCAAGCCCCATCCAACCTGGCCTTGGACACTTCCAGGGATGGGGCAGCCACAGCTTCTCTGGGCAACCTGTGCCAGGGCCTCACCACCCTCACAGGAAAGAATTCCTTCCCAATATCCCATCTAACCCTGCCCTCTGGCAGTGGGAAGCCATTCACCCTTGTCTTGTCACTCCATCCCTTCTCCAAGTCCCTCTCCAGCTCTCTTGAAGCCTGTTTAGGCACTGGAAGGGGCTCTAAGGTCTCCCCAGAGCCTTCTCTTTTCCAAGCTGAAATTAGATTTCAAGTCTTCCAGGTCAGTTTAAAATGCTGCAGGCTCCCACCTGGCCAGGCTCAAGTTTCATTCGTAATGGTAAGAGAAAGAGAAGAATTCTCTTGCCTTTAATGTATTTCTCAGTGTACTGACACATCACTGACTCAAAGCAATCCAAATATATGTGATCACACTGCAAACTAAAAGGCAGGTATAGTGCAGAAAGGAAAGCTTGGAAATCTAACTCGTGTATGTTTGGGGGAGGGCTTTGTATTAACTGTCTGCAGGAACTTTGGCCAGAACCTCTCCAAAACAGTGTGAGTGCAGACAAGCTCCTTGTCCTAAGAAATAAAGTTAGAGAAGAAGAAAATCCTGCCTCTTTATAGAATCCCAGACTGGTTTGGGTTGGAAGGGACCTTAAAGTTCATCTCATTCCACCCCCTGCCACGGGCAGGGACACCTTCCACTAGCCCAGGTTGCTCCAAGCCCTGTCCAACCTGGCCTGGAACACTTCCAGGGATCCAGAGGCAGCCACAGCTTCTCTGGGGAAACCAATTCATCAGCTCTCTTCATCCAACACATGAATGTGAGTATTTCCATTCTTTACCTGGGTAGACCTGCGGGTCTGCCGGGCCTGCCTGGACCGTGCCTTCCTCAGTGATTCCGCTTCCTCATCCCGCACCGGAGTCAGATACGACCTGGAAAAAAAAAGGGGGGGGACACAAGAGGTTAAAGTAAAAGCAGATGCTCTGCTTTCTTCTCCCTTCAGACTCCTGAGCTATCATTTTCTTTCTTATGTACAAAAACAATTTTAGCTCCATCTACTACTGCTGCTGCTTTGGGACAACTCCCCCACGAGCACAAGACACACGTGCTCACAGCTCCTTCTCCCCAGAGCCCCTACATAAACCCTTGACAGTGCTGGACATACTCTCTTAAAAAACTGCACCTTTAAGAACATTATTTGCTCCATTCCATGTCATTGCAACATTACAGAAAACAATTCACCCTCTACCCCCTCTCCCTCAGATAAAGATCTCAGAACAGAAATCCTGCACTGGCACATTCCTCAGACCCTCCTTCCTGTCATTATAGTCCTGATCATATTCCCACAACCTGCTGGCTTCATCAATATGAAACCCATCACACCAGGAACTGGCTGAACTGCAGGCAAAAACCTTGGAAAAAGCCATGGAATTAAAGAAATGACCTTCACACTCTGCGTAAACCGAGCTCCTTAACACTGAAAACCCCATGGTTAAAACACAGAGCTGGGCACCACTGGATTTCATCAAACCTGGGAGAATTTGAGAGAATTATTCACATGAAAATACACAGACTTACTCTCTGCCCTGGCATTCTCTGGGAGGAACTGGTGAGGAATTGGGCAGTGCTCCCACAATCAGGGAGTGCACAGCAGTGATTTCCATAATGGAGTAGAGGCTTCAGTCTTAGGAACGATTAATTAAATTGGACTCCTCAGCCTGGTTAATAGGGAATGATTATTCACACTGTCCCATTGTACAGGGATAAGGGTGCTGGAATGTTCTTTGCAGTTCTATCACTGCCAGAGGTTAACAGTGTACCAGAGACCTGGATGTGTTCAAAGGGCAATGAGCCAAGTGAGGGATGAAGGTTTATCACAGAATAGGCTGACTTTGTCCTTGGACTCTTTTCCTGGTTCTCCACTAAGACCACCTTCACGGGAAAGATAATGGGCTGGAGAGGATTTGCATATGATCCAGTATGTTAAGACATTTATTAGAAAGTTCACTAAGCTGCTGCACTGTGACAAAACCAGAGAGAATCAGGAAATTTGGATCATTCTAAAATCATCTGCCACAGTGGGTTTTATCCACCCACAGGACCCGTGTTCAGGGCTGGTTCAGCTGTGCAGCAAATGTAGCCTGACCTCCAACCTTCAAGGGGCCTTCCTCAGCTTTTGGGTGGTACATCCATGGGAGCCAGTCATCCCACACTCCTTCTAGTGCCATGGGGCACATGTGAGTCTTCTCACCTGAAACTGGTGTAAGGATTTGACCTAATAAATTATGCCCTGAACATCCCTGATCTCCAGAGGCCAGGAGAAGTGCACAGGATCGATGGTCCGTGCTGGGGGGGATGCACTGCAGATTCCTAGAGGGACAGGCACTGATTTCTGCTCTCTGTGACCAGTGACAGGACCCGAGGGAACGGCTGGAGCTGTGTCAGGGCAGGTTTAAGCTGGATTTTAGGAAAAGGTTCTTCCCCCAGAGGGTGGCATTGGAACAGGATCCAAGGCTGCCAGAGCTCAAGGAGCATTTGGAAAACGCCCTCAGGGACACGGTGGAATTATTGGGGTGTCCGGTGCAGGACCAGGGGTTGGACTCGATGATCCTTGTGGGTCCCTTCCAGCTCAGGAGATTCCATGATTCCATGACCCCTGTCCTGGCAGCTGCCTGCAGCAGAGATGTCCCTGGCTGAGCTCGCAGAGCTGCACTCCCAGGGCGCGATTTATCACCTTCAGAGGAGCCTCCAGCACAGCCCATGTGGATGCACTGCAGAGGAGCTCATTTCTTCCCATTGATTATCCAGACAGACACACGAGCTGTGATGGATATGCCAACATGGGAAGCGCCTACACTTCAGAGGGATGATTGCCTCCCAAGAATTTGCTGTTTCATGAACAAAAAAAGCTGCTGTTTGATGAATGAAAGCTGTGCAACTCCTAATTTTGCAGAGCAGGAGTTCTGTTCTCCCTGCTGCAGTGTGTGCACTGCCCAGGTAATGGCACATTAAGGAAACAATAAGCATTTTCTGCAGCTTTTGACACAAGCAGAATCGCTGCTGTTTGCCCAGCAGCCAGAAGCAATAAGCCACCTACAGGAAGAAGGCATTTGCAAAATATACTGCAAATGAAGTTCAGAGTAGTAGTGAAAAAAAATAAATTCCTGAAACATATAAACCCAGTAAATCTGTAGCTCAGTATGGTGTAAGGTGAGCAGCTTACTGCAATGGTTTTGAATCAGTGGAATTTAAATCAGTGGAACTTACTCTGCCATGAGGACACAGGTATGTAGGAGCTGCAGGTATGTAGGAGCTGTGTCCACACATGGAAATAAGAAGAGGAAGGTGAGCCCTGCCTTTGCCTGAGGAGGAGTTTGGCTCACACAGGCAGGTCTGCAGCAGGCACACTGTGCTTGTCCCAGGATGTGGGAGCAACACCAGGCCACCTTCCAGCAGCTGAAATGCTTTTGCACACAAAAGGAAACAATACTGAGCTCCTGCCACGGATGTGGGAGAGGACAAAAAAGGTTTTCAAAGGAGCTTTCAGAAAAGGTTTGGCAAATCCGTGGGGAACAGGTCAGCCCCAGGCATGGGGAGGGCTCTGCGGCAGGGGCAGCCTGGGCAGTTTGCAGGAGGCTGCAGGATTTCCCTCGGTTCAGTGTTCAGCTGCAGCTTTGCTGTGGTTACAGCAAGAGAAAAACCATTTTGGGTCTGTTACCCCATCGTCCTCCCAGGCCTTTTCCCTCTGCTCTCCCAGAATTCATACAAAAATGCAAATATGCCACAGCATTATTAGCAAATTTGGGAATCCAAGCTGTAACAGGGACTTCAGCCGAGCACATTTTGCCAGTCGGAGCGGCTCAGCCGGGGCTGCAGCCGTTATCGATCACCAACTTTTGGGTTCTTTCCATTTACACAATTCATCACTTCCTGGAGCTCACCCAAAGCCATTTACAGCATGAAATAACCAAATTTTCTGAGGCAAGTCAGAAGAGCCACTGTACAGTCACTGAGCTGGTTTCTCCGAGGGAGCAGCTCCAGCCTGTTCCAGGTGCTGAAGGTGTCCGTGCTGTCAGTGTCTCAAACACACACAGCAGCCCCGTCCCTGCTGGCAATGCAGGCCCAGGAGGACTCTGCTCAGGGCTTTGTGTGCTTTGTTTTCTTCTGTGGGGGGAAGGGAGGGAAGTGCCAGATTTTACAGTTTTACAATGCGTTGCTTTGCTTACAAACTGAATTTTGAGAGACCCAAGTGTGCTAAATGAGCTGGAAGAAAGAGAGAGAACAAATGCACTGGAAGGAGATGGAGAGTCAGCTGCAGCTCAGAGTTGAGCTGGGCTGGGCTGGATGGCACAGGCAGAGCAGCAACACGCTGCTCTCCAAAGCAGAACCACTGCAGAGCACAGCAAGCTGCAGGGCACAGGCACCAAAGGGGGTGAGGCAGCCTGGAAACAATCCACAGCATTTTTAATTACGTTTTCAAGGAACACACTGCCTGCTCAAGTGCAGTGCCTTGTCATCCTACTAATTCAAGCACATATCCCAGGATCCAAGCAGATCTTTTTGCACTCTCTTTCCTCGCAATGAGTTTTCTCTGAGAAATTGATGAAATAAGAGCAGCCATCACGTCAAGCTCAAGGCACGTATAAAGCAGAACAGATTTTTACCAGAGTTTTGGCTGCAAGTTCAAGGAGCAGAATTGAAATTGTGAGAGATGTGTACGTGAGAGTCAGCAAAACCACTGCAGAGGTTTACAGCTTCCAGAGACAGAGACAAGTGTGTCCTGTTGCCATGAGAGAGCTACAGGCTCTTGGCTGGTGTATTAGCTATGAAAAAACCAGAATACTGAATGATGAACCTGGCTCCCACTTAATTCTGCCTATTTTCAAGAAAACACCTATTTTTCTCTGTCAACTCTTTCAATCAGGACAGTGCAACACAAAGGTGGATCTCAACTACTCACCACCATCTCAAGGCAAAAGGAGCATCAATAAAATACTAATAGAGGGGAAGATTCAAACCAGGGCTGGATATACAGGCTGGTAAGACAGGAACACAAGAGCAAATCTGTTAGAGAACCTTGGCCAGAGGAAAAGAAAAGAACATATTGTACAGAGAAACCTCTCCCAATGAATGATGCAGATAAAGAAGTTACAATCCCCTGTCTGTTGGTGCACAGGTAACAAGGACAGAAGATGAATTTCTCTAAGAAACACGCAACCTTCTGATAGTCCTTTCACAATGCTGGTCTCCTTTCCTGCCATCCTGAACTCTTTCAGGCATTCAGAGATTGAAGTGCTTGTGGCAAACACCATCCACCATCATGGAGTCCTTTGGCAGAACATCACCCAGTCCCAGAGAGAACAGCAAGAACATGCAAAACTTGGGAGTTTTACATCACCCATGTGTCAGAGCAGCTGTGGCTGCCCCATCCCTGGAAGTGTTCCAGGCCGGGTTGGATGGGGTTAGGAGCAACCTGGTCTAGGGGAAGGTGGCTCTGCCCATGGCAGGGAGAAGTAACTGGATGGGCTTTAAGGTCCCTTCCAACCCAAACCATTCTGGGACTCTGTGAAAACTTGGCAACAAATCTGGAAGCTAAACATTCACCAGGTGCTACAGCTTCCCTCTTCTCAGAGTGGGTTCAAGGTATTTCGCTTTGCTGTCAGGACCAAAAATTGAGATACACCCCCGACAAACTGTAATGGGGCACAACAGCTTCCCTCTGTCCCCATCAGGTCCTTCTCCAACAAATCCAAGTCCCATAGGCAGCACAGCAAGAACATGAGTTGCATACAGCAATTCCAGGGTGCCCAGTCTCTGGGAAATGGGGCTCTGCTTGTTGCGAACTGGGGCTGGGCTTGAAGGGGCTCTGCTGGAGGAAAGTTTGTCCTGGACCCTCTCCGACTCCTCGTCTCAGCCCAAATTCTCTTTCTAG